AAAGATCCAATTTTGACCAACAAAGTGTGTCCAATGAATCTGAAGCTAATTCGACCAATGAATCTGAAACCAATTCGTCTCCAAGCTCTTCTTCTGGAAGTTCCAATTTATCTGAAATTTTAGATATTACTTCAGACATTAAAATTCGTTTTAAACAACACTTTGATCGACTTATGAGAGCGAGAAATTATACTTTTGATGAGATGTGTTTCTTGGTAGTAATTGATATTCGTAGTCTTAGAGGAAATATTAAGACTTCAACAGTGAAAAATTTTTATAATGGTGTTAGTGGTAGTAAAGTTAGTACAATTAATCAGATAAACGCATAGGTAGCTAGTTTTAATAATAATGCAGAGTAGTGAGGAAGGAACTGCCATTATATGGGTTGGGGCTCGGCAGGCATTCATGCTTTATTCCTCCCTTAAAACAACCTGCTACTCTGTTATTAGTTTCATTTTTTACTTAGCCAGCCGGCTCTTTCTCATGTAATACTTTACGAAAAATATAATAAAGAATTCGTTTGATTTTTAAAAAAATATGTGTTTATTTTTGTAATGATACGCTACTTGCTTGCCTACGCTTATAAAAAATATATACATTTAAAATTGTTCTACATCATAAGCTATTTTACATTAATAAAAAAACATTCTAATCCTCTTGCTCTTCAGAGGTGCCAGCGTAATTATTATTGATTGTGACATTAATAACATTAGCGCTTTGTGAAAAGGAAGGAAGAGTGGGAGTCACCGGTCTAGAGGTAGTATGTGGTTCGGCAGTTGACGGTGTTGTTGGTCTCGATTTCATATATATTTCTTCAGAACTTCCAACAACCTTAGATATCTTCTTAGATGGGTTATCACTTGATCGCCTCTCTGAAGTAACTTCTGGGGTGGAAATATTTGAGGATTCTGATGCCTCTTGTGATGCTATACCAGCTTTACTTAACCTTCTAATGCTCTCATTATGTACATGTTCAAATGGGAGTTCTAGCAAAAATGGTCGAAGGTACGGTGCATGAATTTCACAAAATAGATTTGGTGTTAATAATAAATTGCGAGGCTTGCTTTCCAAAAGCATAATTACCAGGTTTCATCCAGAACATCGTTGAGAACTCCTCATATATCTTCTCCCCAATCAAACTCTTCTTAACTCCAGTCCCTTCTCTATAGTTTTTTGCCGTCTAGTGGAGGGTATTAATAAGTATATCAGCCAGATTCTGCGTGTTAGCAAAGTTAACGCTATGCAAACCACAAGTAAGTATTACTAACCCTAAATGCTTTCACAAGATTCTTAAATTTTTTTTGACATTCCTCGCCTATGAAATAGTTTGTATTCTCTTGTTCGTTTATCTTTTCGGCAACACTATCCCAAAAGAGACATTTCTTTTTGTTTGAAGTGCTATGAAACTCGACATTTCTCTCTTTTCGTTCATTGATAAGAAGGTGAACTTGAGTATCGCCCCACTCGAGAGACATGTTTACATGGTGGAGGAACTTCGCAATAAGGTTAGTTTTATGAAAATAACGAGTGATGTATTAGATCATAGCGAGAATGATTAATTTGATTTAATGAAATGATAATAATGGTGGCTTAGCCATTTTTTCAAATACACATGATATGCCAATCACCCGTGATTTGAGAAACCACTCAGTGCCATGAAAGAGCCAGGAAAGTGTCGTGAAACTATCGAGGAACTGGCAAGGAACTAGGGGAGATCTCATGTGATACAAATTTTTATGTTATACATCATGCAAAACTCATTCGGCTAATCCCTGATAATCACGAGAGATCTACAAACTGATGTAAATATAAAATTAGCTTAGCCTAAGATATGACCCTATATAAATCGAATAAAAATGAATCTGATATTTTATTA